TTTTTCAGTCAGATCTACATCTACACTCATAAAACTACCCAGATACATAAGCCTTTCGACAACTTCTAACAGTCCACCTCTACGTTTGAATACAGGTACAGGCTTCTTTTAGTCTTGTAAAGCATTCTGTGCTAAGCTTACATTAAACTTACGTATGCCAATCGCTGATTGTATGAATACACTTTGGTTGGTATGTATTTTATTTCACTGTAAGACTAGGTTGTCTGCGCACTTAAGGTCGAAATGTTTTCCACTTGATAATACGTCTACACAACCATCTGTTAATGTCCATCAAATATTAATCATACATGAGGACAGTTACTCAACTAAGGCATTGAATGGAGGTTGCGCCATAACTTGAACTCACAGAAGTAGATAAAAATGGACCATTGAATTGTGACACAGTGGTTCAGTGGTAACGTGCTTCCCGTAGAACCCGAAGGTCCTGAGTTCGATCCATGGCGGGGTCAGGTCATGGATGAGCACTGCTGAGGAGTCTGATACTAGCACCAATCAGCTGTTCAGCGCTCCCGGGCTTCTAAGGCTTCTCCAATTGATGTCAGTCTAGAGTGAATACCGACCTTAAATAAATGAATGAATCCTCTGAGATTTCAGAATTGAATAATAATAATAATAATAATAATAATAGTGATGTCTTTCTGTTGCTGAAATAATAAGACTTTAGTTATTTTCAATATTTCATTTAATATAATAGCTAGAAAGCACACTTCATTCAGGTAGATATTTTTTGCTAGTGGGGAAGAACAAAGATAAAAGGGTAGTGAATCTGAAAGCCTTCTTCTGGATATATTTACTGGTTTATCTACCCATGTTGTTATTACAAACCGAAACCTTTTGCTAACATACCTTATCATACTTGTAATAGATAACAAATAAATTGTAGTACACTAACTCATTTCCCACTTCTTTAAGTCATTCTTAATATGATGCATGTATCTTTTCTAGATATCAACAGAGAAAGTTATAAGTTTATAAAGATACCTCTCTTCTCTTCCACACTAATTCTTTCTCCTTTATGTGTTATTATTTAACTTTATTTAATGGTAGCTAGCTAGTTTAGGGGTGTTTGTTTTTTTTTGCGTCAGTTAACGTTTAAGAAATGAATGAATGTAACTGACTAGACATATAAATTCTGACTACACTAGGCTACATATATTTCATTTAAAAATTTGATGAAACCATTTAACCTGCGGCTCCTCCCCTTGTCTAACCCTCCATGCTCAGTTTCCTCAAGTGGAATGGGAGCGTAGTTTATATTCAATTAACTGATCAATTTTCATGTAAGATGAAATCTCATTTACTTTACCAGGTTGATTGTACTACGATAATTTGCTTAGACTTCTCGTCATCTTCCATATTAGTATTTGAAGAAAGTTTAACATTTCAACCTTTCCTAATTAATATTTATCAAGAAGATTAATCGCGTAAAACTTTCGTTCAGGCAGATAGAAACAGAAAATAAGTAACGCAATAAAAATGACTTTTAAAACCGATAAGAGTCTGAGATTTACTGTTTTACCATTCTATAAAAGACAAGTGAATTTATTGTTTATTTGATAGTCAATCCCCTTTTGTTTATGAGCAACCTGGTAGATAATGCTTCGGTGTTTAAAGTGATAATTGCTGGGTTTGAACACCAATGGGAACAACATTACTTACTTGGGGGTAGGTACGCGTAGTTGACGAGTCCCGAATAGGACGAAGCGCTCGTCTAGCGTTCCTCTGTTAGCCGTTAGTTTGAAACTTAAATTACTGGCAATTTTGAGTCATTTGTGTAAGATCCTCTCTGTATGTTAACGGTGGCGGATCAATAAGTTAATTATGCGCATCAATCAATTATTTAATGAATAGTTGTGAAATGTCTATGTGAATGTGTACATTGGTTTGAAAGACACTTTTATTGATCACAGTGCAATTTCATTGACTAAGGTGTTTTGTGCATGAGTTTGTTTCTCTCATCATCCCTAAATAGTCTTTCCTTTTTGATAGATGTTAGTTGGTTGGAGGCAATCGGCAGTAAGCCGTAGACCTAGATTTTGTGCTTGTTGGCACTCATCAGCAGGGCGTATCTGCAACCTCGACAGAACTGATGTCCCACCTGAGACTCGAATCCGTATCATCCAGTGTTGTAGTCAATGACGTTACGAATGCCTCCATTCAACTGATATCTATCAAAGTGCATAGTGATGCTGAGCTGCCTAGTCTGATGTTAGTCTGATCATTCGGCACTTAAGGTTAGACAACAAGAAGTTGGTTACCCTACAGTGACCAGTTAATGAATCTTTATTTTTTCAAAAGAAAAACTATTCGCCAATTTAAAACATCGTTGGAAGAGATAACTTTTGTATCTCAGATAGTGAGAATGATAATCAGTATGATGCTCAGCCTCTCTAATTCAGTTAAATTTAGATTGGGGTGTGAACTCCTGACCGGATGGCCAGTGTGAGTACTATCATTCAGTGGTAATGCATCATGAATTCATAAGGCAGTCAGACAAGACTCTTGATGACTGAAATAAAATAAAAATCGGGTTAACTGTCGGATCTAGTAGCTCAGTTAGTAAAAGTATCAGGCTGGAAACCCAATGGTTGCTAGTTAGAGTCCCGCCGCAGCCATCTTAAATCATCAATCAGTAACATTATTAGTTTGCTAAACCAAAGTTATCTCAGACAGTCAAAATGATTACATAACCCTTTGCTGTGCGTAAATTCAACTAGATAGCAAACAATTTTGTCGATTGTAGTAATATCATTGCGTTTCACTGACTTTTCTGTAATGTCAAATAGACTGAAGTGAATGAAAGGTAATTTGGTACAAAAAAGACAGCTGTTTACTTGAGTAGTTAGAAACTACTCAAGCTGATTTGTAGACTTCACCAGCTAGCCAAATCAGAGTGAGAGTGGACGGCCATTACGCTTGTTCGGGCTGAGTCAACTCATCAGCAGTATACCCGGATAAATTCAGTACATAGAGACGAATTAGCTCAGATCACCGGAATATAGCCAGCTGAACTGCACGAACTGCCATACCTAAAAAAAGGATGGCCAATTTGCAGATAATTTACCAATTGCACAGTCCATAGTGATATTTCTCACACCTGAGACTCGTCAGATGGATGTATCTGCCTCCCAGATAAGGCAAAAACTATGAAGAAATGAGCATCCTGAATTCCACTCCTAACTAATGTTCATCACTAATATCAGAGCAGAAATTATTGGCAATATTGAAACACCACCGTAAAGTCCATAAGCCAGAAGCAGTTAATCAGTTTGGCCAACCAACGACAGAGATTTACGAGCTATACCATAAAAAAATTAAAAAGATTGAAGTCTGTAAAAAAAAACATTTATTTAACTTTATTTCTTGGAAGCATGAACATTTACTGTGAAGAACCAGAAGTGGATTCGTTTCGACAGATTTAGAAAAATGTTTACTTCTTCATTAATGGATATTAGTCATTGTTTTATGAATTTGCCTAAAGCTCAATTAAGCTGAAATTGATGGCTCACTAATGGTTTCACTGATCACAAGTTCATGTTAGATAAATTTTGTCAATCATTGTCTAAGTAGTATGTCTCTATGTTTCTTTAGAAGAGATTATCTACTTGAGGGAAGAAATTGTAAAATCAATACTTGTAAAAAGACTTTTATCTCCTTTCTACAATCCTTTCACTTGAAAAAACTGTATACATTATTCAGAGACAGTAGTAATTTTAAGATAGTATCCACCACGGAATGATGTCAGTTGGAGAAGCACTGGACAGTTTATGGAATACAATGCATAATATTGAAAGCTTTGTTAATATCTCTATGATGCCCCGTGTTTACTAGCCGCGCTAAGGTGGAACTTTTCACCCCCTTCAATTCTTTTTCGAAGAAAGCCGATAAGTGCTCTTTTATCTGGAGATACACCTACCAAATCGTCAACCTTATGTAACAAGTTCTACAAGAGCGGTTCAACTGATGTATGAAGGATTAAAAGCTAAGACTAAGCAGTTTATCCTCTAGTCTCGAAATGAGTATTATGGGGCTACTGAAAGGTATACAAAGCTGACACAAAGCAGAAACACAAGCTGTCCTCTATTCCCATGTATTCTTGTTTGGGATTACTAGAAGTAATGTTTTTTTGATGGACTTATCCGGATATCTGTTTTTGCTTAGAGTATCACTGATACACAGTAGTACTTTTTCCACAAACACCTCTGAGCAACTAGATCTTACTGTAAATACTAAGTACCTGATTATATTACGTTTGTACTTCATCGACATGAACCTGACAAAATGAGTATACTGTACCTAAATTCTGTGTTTCTGTATTCCTGACAAAATGAAAATAATAGATAATTTTTACTTTGACCCCGACAACTCATTGATATTTTAAGCAAAAAAGAAATTTTGATGAGCAAAAAGAAAATTCTTTTCGATAACTTCTTTCTCAGTTTCTACACTCTGAATATCTATATTGTTCAGTCAAAGAATTATTACGTGTTAACAACAAGGTTTTAGAGCACAGGTAATTGTTAACACAATTCAAAATCATAAAAAAAATGTTGATAATAAAATGGTGCTAGATGTTCAGCATCAATTATACCAGAAAGTTGACTATTCCAAAGCTGGTCAAAGTAGTAGTATTAGTTGTTTGATTAGTAGTAGTAGTGTGAGTAGTAGCTCAGTTGATAGAAAACCGAACCGAAAGCCAATTTTCGCCCATTCGAATCCTAGCGCAACCTAAATTTTCATCTCATCTTCAGTCATCATTCAGTATGAATACTAGTTTGGTAAAACACAGCTATCTCACTCAGATAGTCTAAATAAAAATCTTGACTAGACTTATGTTAAATCCTGTTTAAAGTTATTGTGGTGTATAGAATAGATTAATGGCAGTAACATATTTCAGGTTTATTACTATAATAAAAGCTAAATGATCTTTTCACTCTACATTGCTCATCACTCATTTATTTTCTCTCTATTCAATATAGAGTTCCAATTCGAATTCAGGTTATAGATCGACATGGACCTGTTTTTGATAAACTGCATTATAATTTTAAAATTGGTCAAAAAAGTCCAATTGGTAGTATTGTTGGCCAGATTCAAGCTATTGAAGAAGTGAGCCAAACTAATGATTACGCGAATACAGCCATCTGTGATTATCGTCTTCAACCGGTTGACAGTCCATTCTCTATCAATAACTATGGTCAGTTGATTCAACGTTTTCATTTAATTGTATAAAATATTTTTGTAGATAAATTTTTACAATTTACTCGATGGTAATTGACAGAAGGATCTAGGGCACATGTTTCGTCCCATTCGGGGTACGTCAGCTGGATGTACCTGCACCCCACTGGGTGATGGTGTTTCCACCAAGACTCGAACCCCGTGTTCATTGCTTCAACACCAAGGCATTATATACTAGGTTACTAGAGTCACCTCTTGTGGAATTGGTATTAATTGTTATCATTATTATTATTACCATTATTCTTTGGTATCGGTGGTGGCTAGCAGTAAAATCCAGTAATCCATGTGCCAACAGAGGATCGATCATTTCGGTCCGGTATGACAGCGGGGAATTACAACTAACAAAAAACAATAATAGTATATAGTTTGTCTTTCAAAACCGTCCTGTCTACAGAATGATATATATATATATATATATATATATATATATATATATATATTATAGTATCCATTAAAGACCGTTTTTCACTTACCTGTAAAGAGCATCTTTTGTAACCACACCGAAAGAAATGAAGTCTACTGTAATTATGATCCGCATAAAATGATAAGCACCTTTGTCTAAATTAAATTGATCCCAGGGGAAATTGACAGATGAAGTCAAACTGAGTTAAAATACCATTTGAGGAATGTGTTATGGAGTCAATGAAAGTTTACAGTGATTAAGTATTCTAGGATAAATCTTCTTCTGTAATCATAAATATAAGTCACTTTTAATTTGTACCACTTAACTCCCCACATAATTCTTTTGAAAGCATTACAAATAAGGCAGTAGAAACAACACTGCAATCTCAACGGAATTCATTCTCTCTGAAATATTAAAACCTACAGTATTCTACTAGGAATGTTGTTGTCATATTTCGCTAACACACAATTCATTGGAATATTTTCCCATCAAGTTTAACAACCATAAAAGTCTCATTGCTGGTAAAATTAAGACACTGAATAAGTCATTATGAAGTGATCAATTGATATACAGTATTAAAAAACCCAGTGGAGCAGAAAAAAGGGTTGATTGTAAACTTAAAATCGGTGGTGATAAAAATATTAAAACATACAATAAAGCCACCTCAGCAAACATATTCCCTTCCAGCGTCCTAGTATGTAGTTTTCTTACCCTCTGAAATTCTAATTAATATTTTTCTCTTTTTTTCTTCTGAATTATCACTAATGAATCGTAATCAATTCTTGTGTTTCCCGACGCTGCACGAGATACTAGTGATATATGTTCGTATGAGTAGCGTTCTCCAGAGTATCAGAACTTTAAGGAACTAAATGGGTTGGTAACAAAATTAACAGGAAAATTTGAAATGTAACTGAATTCTCCACTAGATACATTAGTGATGATGCCCCTAGACTAACCATTCAAATAATAACTCAGTGACTCAGAGAAGCATACTGCAGAGAACTGGCATATTGTTAAAATCATGTTTTCACAACTATTTGCAATTAAATAACCTTTCTGAGTGATGAGTGAGGGTACAGTGGAAATCTGGGCCGTCATGGGATTCAAACCAGCTGCCTTCAAGTAACCGGACCAGTTGTCTACTAACTCATTCTGCCATAACAAAACTATCTCATGTGGTCAAACTGATAACCAAAGTGATGCTGCGCCTGTCTTATTCAGCTTGATTTTGGTTGGGATGAGAAGTCCCGACTTGACAGCCAGTGTGAATATGATGAACGGACAATTAGTCATCACGAATTCACACGGCAGTCAGAAAAGACGCTTGGTGATGGAAGTGAAATTAAGATCCGGTCAACAGCTGTTTGTCGTAGCTGAGGTGGTAGAGTACCGAACCATTAACTCAAAGGTAGTTAGTTTGAATCCTGCCGTGATCTAGTCTTTCGTTTCAACTTCAGTCAACACCTAATATCAATCATATATATCTGGTAGCTCAAGTAATCAAGGAAATAAAAAATAACACCACTCTTCTGTTCAAAAATATGAATGCTTTGTGCTCATATTATGTCAGACTCCAATGAAAATGTTCGACACCTTCATCTCTTTCCTAGTATCTTTTTCAGTGAGTTCTAGTGTAGTGACAGTTTGTAGCTACCTGTAGATGTCAACAAGTCAAACTGACTATTCTTTCAAAAAAGAATCCTAGAAATAAATAGCAACCGGTTTGAATACTCCGATATGCCATTTTCAGACAACTAAATACTTTGTACCACATTACTGGATCTATGTGTGATAATGAGCCAGCTAAGAAAAGACGTTAATTGTTGTTTAGTGTAAACATTTTAAAATCGAAAACACTGAACACTAGCCAGTACTGACAGAAATGAGATGAAAGAATATAAGATTTATATTTCAGAGTATTTACAGAGAGAGTTTATCAGCAGAACAAAGATATGTACCTAACCTTTGATGGATGTTGATAATCGTCTTCCACCTATGTTTACCTATGTTTCTGAATCTTGTTACTTTATTAGCCATTTCTGTGCATGTTCCCTCATCTTTACGTGCATGTCTTGATTAGTCTTATACATATATGTCCACGAATATGTAAATTAGTACACGCAGTGGGATAGGACGTAATCATTTATACAGTGATAAAGTTTGTGCAGTGAAATGCGTTTGGTTTTCTCAACTACAACAAGCACAGCTTCATAGTAGTTTTCATGGATGGCAGACTTCAGCCTCGCTTTTGAAATTACGCTGTAAGTCTCCCCTCTATATGATAGCCTGATATAAACGCTGACTGATTTTTGTAACGGTTTATGGACTTCAATAAATATCCATCTTCCACTAATATTTCAGTTAGTATTTTGAAGTAATAATCCATCGAATCTTGCGTAAAGATACTCTGAATCTTTTAGAATATCCATTTTATCAAACCTCGCTGGAATTGAGTTGGATTAAAACCACAGAAATCCAAATACTACCCTGCACAAGTCGGTTTCCTGTAAATCGACCACTGCATTGAAGTGTCTTTTTTATGACTCAGGAGCATATCCAAAAACGTCAGACAGTTGTCATTCTCTTCTTCGAATGTTAGGTGTCTCTTGTTTTGTATGGTGTTAAGTCTTTCTAGCAAACATGTCACATCTTCATGCTTGCCACATATCATAATCACATCACTAACATGTCTATATAAACATATTTTTTGACAAGAACGATTCATTCAAAAATATGGCTTCTTCATGGAATGGTCAAAAGTGCTGTTGGAAAGTATTTTCAGTGTCAGTACGTTCAGTAATTTATTCCATTTAGCTTGGAGGTTTGGAAAGTATTTGTTGATTTCATAGTAGTGTTCATCAACACTTGGGAATCAATTCATCCCCACAAACTTTCATTAGTGAAATGCTTCAAGATGGATATCTGAGAGTTCTAATGAGAAGTTGTGAACTATGGGGTCAACCAAGTCGGAAGTGAAGTGGATACTTCCCCTGACGACACTGATTTGTGGTTACACCATGTGACAAATCGGGAGAAGTAAAAAAAAATCAGTTTTACTGGTATTAGGTATGTGCTGAAATTTACAGCAAATTTTTACTGAACAACTTGACTATTATTTAAGTTCATCGACTCATCAATTCAGGTAATGAAAGAAAGCAAATTTCATTTGAATTATTGTGGTACCTACCGCCTCATTCTTCTTTCAATTCTATGGTTATGAAGCAAGCAAAATAGGTTATTAAAGCAGGATTTATTGAATTCATAAATGTTATTGGGACTCGTCGGCTTTTCTTTTCGATATAATGGAGAAACTAATAAAAATTTTGCTTGAGCCCTTACTGAAGGTTTTTCGAGATCCTAATCCACTTACATGTGAAAGTAAAAGAAGTGATCTAGATACCCCAAATGTCTTATACCGCAATATTTGTAATAATTTCGATAGAAATAGCAGGTATGTCAGGTTTACCTTTTTAGACTATACCTTTGCTGGACAAGCTAGCCAGGAGACATAACGAGTCCCGGATAATCAACTGACTGTACTTTTATTTCTCTAAAATGAAACAATATAATGCTCAGATGGAGAAGTGTTTCACCTCATCGCTTGCTGAGGCTGATGTTCCCCAAGATGCCGTTCTCCACCCAATTATTTTACTTTGTTTCTGTATGACTTACTATCTTTAACCAGTATCATTGTTGTCAAATATGCTGACAGTTTTAATACCTGTCTCCTCTTCATCGGATTGTTCCAAACTCAACGATTTCCTCTCTGGGTGGTCTTGTGCTTGATTCTTCAAAAGTTCAGATTTGAATATGACCTATGTCAACTCCTTAAGTTTTATTAGTCCTGTTCTACTGATAGTTGCCCATTAGAGAATATTACAAGTGTGAGTTATGTCGGTGTGCACTTTTCACCCTGGTCTTTTTTGGTCTATCTATATCTTATTACTTTCCAAAAGAATCATCCGCCTAACTTTATATATTAGGAAACTGAAAGTATCTGATATAAATCATCCTCTTCTCTTGTGTTTTTTAAACTCCTACATATTGCTTATTCTCCATTGTTCCTAATTATTTTTCCTCAGTTGCTGAAAAAATACTAGTATGTTGTGTAGAACTTTGTAGATTGTCAGTGAAACTACTGGTGTACCGCTAAAACATTCTAATTGAAAGTGTTGTGAACAAACATCCTAACTCATGTGAACATCTAGCAGGAGTTATTTTTTCAGATAATTAGCACCCATTTCACTAAAAACTCTCTGTGTCCTTAGGTCCTTAGGCGATCCAAGAAGCAAGTACACAGAATTTTATGCATGTATTACTAAATATAAAAACTCTACAATAGTGTATTTAGCTCATCTTCTGTGCGAAAAAGAAAGCGTGAGAAATGAATTAACTAATCAACTTTTATTTCTGAAAGCAAACTAATTAAGGATCACATAGCTTGCTATTATTTAAGTATTATGAATGTAATTACTAATGTGATTGCTTACTTAAGTTAACTCTGCATTTTTAAGAAAGTTGTAGATGGAGTAAATATTTATATCTTTCATATATAC